AGAATTTAATGAAAGTCTTTGATAACGTACTCCGGATTAATCTGAGGGCTTACGTCAAGTTAAGTCAATTAGCCATTCCTTATCTCGAAGAAACCAACGGCACTATTATTAGTATATCAAGCATTGCGTCAACTCATCCGGTAAGTTTTGAAATAATTTTAAAAATATAACTCAATGAAATTATGAATTTACGATAAAACATATTTGATTCCTTGAAACATACTACGAAACCTAATTCTATAGCAGTTTTTTTTAAAAACCACAATAATGGCATTTATTTTTTAACCTAGACCAAATTAGCTCTTGCTTATGATATATCCAAAGCGGGTGTGGATATGATGACCAAAGTTATGGCACTAGAATTGGGTCCAAGAATTAAAGTCAATACAATCAAGTAATATAAATATTATATTAATATATACTCTATATTTAATACTTTTATAACAAACCTGTCAGTCCTGGTGTTACTGCCAGTAATTTTGGTCAAAATTCTGGTGTTCCGATAGAAATGATGAAACAACTGGAGCTCCAGTCGGCCAGACAGGCACCCCTACAAACTATAGGCCGTCCCCTCGATATAGCCAATGCGGTGGCATTCCTGGCCTCAAAAGACGCTCAGTTTATAACCGGTGCTAATCTGGTGGTCGACGGAGGGGTTACTTATAATTTCGGTGGTGAATTTGGAGAGAATTAAAAATTTGAAAACTAATACTATACTTTAAAATTACACTCAAATTATGTAAACATTCAATGTTTTATCAAACAGTTTTCATAAACAAATCAATACTCAAATTTAATTTTCATGATTTTAAATTTTATATAATTTTTATTATTTTATTTTAATAGTCATTATTAATTATCGTGATCATTTACTTTTAACTTACACCAAATTTGTATTTGTTTTTTATCCGTACTTTGTTGTATTTTAAGATATAGTAAGATTAATAAATTGCATTATATTTTATGAATTCATAATAAAATTGTAATAGTTTAATAATCATAATAAAATAGTAAAATAGTTGAATATAAAAATTTTAAATACGATAAAACTATTATTTTTAATTAACAGGTTAATTTTCAAACCTAACTTTGATTCCATTGACCCCTTAGTCCCGGGTTAATTGAAATAAACATCAACACCTGTAACTCTGGTGTGGTTTCAGATTTAATACCAATATTTGAGTCACAAATGGTTAGCCGCACACCAATCAAGAAGAGGGGTAAACCACCGGACATGGCCTAAGTTGTCCTATACCTGGACTCATAAGAGGCCCAATTTATTAATGAAACTAATTTTGTGGTCGAGAAATACTATTACATCAACTTTGTATAGCTAACCTGTTAAAAATTAGTATAACACTACATTTTTAATTTTTAAATTACACAGTATTCCTTAACTGTAGTGTACAGACATTCTGTACACTAACATATAACATACTTATTCTATGTGAATTATATAAAAGTATATTTCTGGAATAATATTATACTGACCCTGAACAATAAAAGAATTTCAAAAGAAATTGCTCAATAAATAATAATAATATTTATTATGAAATTAAACAAATGAACCAATAATAGACTGGTTCCTATAAGAGTTCAAAACAAGGTCGCGTACACTAGTTGTGTACTTTAGTAAACAATCATGAAAAGGATACAATCAGTGACGAGGGACAGTTTTTATAGCATAGAGTTGGTGTACTTGATATGCACTAAATTGTGGATAGCCTTCAATTGATTACATGTTATTATTCCCTAAATTACCGGTTTTTGTAGGAAAGGATTTCTCTCAAAAATTTAAAATTCTAAGTAAAACCTATTAAATAATGTAAAATATTTTATATATAAGCAATCACTTTAAAATATTATTGATATCGCTTTTGCAATTAACTATTTGAGATATTCTGTAGGAAATTTAGATATTATATAACTGTAATTTGATTTAAATAATCACAATGAATATAATAAAAATTTCAACAGTTTTGTGTGTTATGTCATTGAATTTGCATTTATCTCATTCGCAAAGCAATGATATCTACAAACAGGCAAAGAATTCACGCGATTTTACGGGCAAAGTAGTACTGGTCACCGGATCCAGTTCCGGCATTGGGGAGGGTATCGTTAAATTACTCTCTGTATTGGGTGCCAAAGTTGTGGTCACCGGTAGGAAAGAGGATCAAGTGAAACGTGTGGCACAAGAAGTCCAAGAATTATCACCGAAAAAATTAAAAGTTTGTTTAGAAATAGATTTTTAAATTTATAATAAATTGATTTTATTTATAGCCGTTGGCTGTTGTGGCGGATGTGACCAAAAATGATGACTTAAATAATCTAATGAATCAAACCATTAAAACATTTGGCAAATTAGATGTATTGGTGAATAACGCCGGTATCGGGATGTTTGCCGGCGTTAAGGATAAGAATTTAATGAAAGTCTTTGATAACGTACTCCGGATTAATCTGAGGGCTTACGTCAAGTTAAGTCAATTAGCCATTCCTTATCTCGAAGAAACCAATGGCACTATAATTAGTATATCAAGTATTGCGTCAACTCATCCGGTAAGCTTTGAGATAATTTTAAAGTATAACTAATTAACCTAGTAAATTTAAATTAAGTATTTACCAAACATATTTGATTTAATAAAATCTAATTATAACATAGTATAATTTTTAAATTACACAATATTCATATTTATTTTTAACCTAGACCAAATTAGGTCTGCCTTATGATATATCCAAAGCGGGTGTGGATATGATGACCAAAGTTATGGCACTAGAATTGGGTCCAAGAATTAGAGTCAATACAATCAAGTAATATATTTATTATATTAATATATACTCTATATTTAATACTTTGTAACAAACCTGTCAGTCCTGGTGCTACTGAAAGTAATTTAGGTGCCAATGCCGGTATTCCCGTCCAAATGATGAAACAAGTTGCAGACCTAATGGCCAAACGGGCGCCCCTACAGACTACAGGCCGTCCCCTCGATATAGCCAATGCGGTGGCATTCCTGGCCTCAAAAGACGCTCAGTTTATAACCGGTGCTAATCTGGTGGTCGACGGAGGGGTTACTTATAATTTTGGAGATATATTTGAGAATATGTAATATACCATGTTTAACTGCTATTATGTATTTAAGCTGGTAAAATCTACCATTAGAATTACTTTAAATAAATATTTTAATAAATTCAATACTTAATCATCATGATGCAATAAATAAATATTAATTTTAACTTACCTTGTTTTATAATTATTAAAAAATTTGTATAAAATTTATAATAGAGTTTTATTTAATTAAATTTTTTATATTTATTATTAATAACTTTTATAACATTTAAAATAAATTCACTTTTTCAGAGTATTGCTTTGTGAGTAGTAGGAAAGCCTACTGCGAGCACCGGTATGTATGTAGTGATAGGTAGCTACCAGTACTGCCTCTCGTGATCGACTTGAATAGAGTTGTCTATTGATGGGTCGACACAACCGAATGATACCGTCGATAGCGACCAGTATCGGGATCTGCCGATCGCCCCTCCCGACCCGCACAGGCAGGGCTTAGGCCTATTGGAGGCACAACCACTCGACGGGCGGTCAGAGTTGTCTGAAAGCCGTGGCAATCAAATAAACCGTTTATTTTGAAGAGTAAGAGTGTCCGGCAAATGTTTTTCAGGGGATCAGCAAAATACAGATTTATTATGGCGTGATCCACAAAGTACATACGCACGCCTAGGGGGGAGGGGGGGTCATGCCAAAGCGTATGTCCCCATGTTAAACTCCTATGTAAAAAACATTTGGCAAATTAGATGTACTTGTTAATAACGCGGGAATGGGTATGTTTGTTAGCGTCAAGGATAAGAATTTAATGAAAGTCTTTGATAACGTACTCCGGATTAATCTGAGGGCTTACGTCAAGTTAAGTCAATTAGCCATTCCTTATCTCGAAGAAACCAACGGCACTATTATTAGTATATCAAGCATTGC